TTTGAGCTGGATCAAGCCTTTGTTGGCCTGCGTGGCTACCTCCAATCTGGCAATGGTCTCATTGCTCAGTTTGCAATTGCCAGAGAGCACCAAAATCATCTGGGAGCCTTTCTGCTTCCAAGAAGGTATTGTTGACCCACTGATCCAGTTCTTCTTGGAGCATGATGCTTGGCTAGAAAAAATATGGCCATGTTGATATAGCACAGTCTGCTACAATGCTTGCAAAGCAAGGGACGGTACTTGATCACACTTGTGTCAGTCAACAAATGGGAGGACAAACAAATTGAGCTCCAGCAGAGAAGTTCTGCCATCAAGGACATTGATAGTCAAAGTGTGCACACAGCCTGCTTCCTCTGTGATGCTCAAGCCTGCATGCTTGGCATCCAGGAGCAGTTTGTGGCTGTACTTGCTAGCTTCAGCAACTGCTTCTGCAAAGTCCTGTAAAGACATTTGTCCAGACAGCGCATCTGCCAAGCTTTGCTGTCCAAGGTTGCCTTTAAGATGCTGAAGAATGTCCTTGACACACTGCAGCAGAAAGAGTATGACCTCTGAGGAAGCAAGGCAGATGAATGTTGCCTTGCTTCGCAGAAGCACTCATTGCAAGCTGCGTTTCATCATCCACAGCATTCTCTCCAACTGCGCCTTGACTCACATTCTCATTGTTGCGCAAAATTGCAACTTTACTAGATCCTGAGCTCGCAACTCAGAGAAGCGTGCATATCATTTCTCATTCACTCAGCCAGATTTTGTGGGAAAGTAAAGCACAATGCGCACATGGAGCTGTTGCAGACGGTTAGCACCCGCAGCAGTAAGGCTTGACATTTGTGTTACTGCCAGTTTAGCTTGCGCTTTTGGAGGGATTGCTTGTGACAAAGCACAAGGAGCACTTACTGACACCTGAAGAGAGAGTTTGCTTTCTGATCAACATGCACGTCCTCTACTTCCAGCTCCTCCACCTGCGCTTCCTCTTGCTTGGCCTGCGCCTCCTCTCGCTCGGCCTGCGCCTCCTCTTGCTGTGACACTAGCATCTGCTCCGAGGACAGCAGTGATGACAATGCCTGAGTCATCTGCCGCACCTGCGCTTTGAGCTGCACAACTTGCGCCGCTCGTGCGGCGGCTTGTCTCTCGCGGAATCTCTTGAGCTCATGTTGGGTAAGCTTTGCTCCCAGAGCAGTGGCTTTCTGGTGGCGCTCGGTCAACAAGCGGTTGTCGCTGTCAGAGCGATTGTTGAACCACCAATTTGAGACTGTGTTGTCCCGAGCAATGGTGTGAGCCTTGTCCCACAGGTGCAGCACCAGTTCAGACGACTGGGACAGCAGCTCCAGTTGTGCGTAAAGTGTGAAGATCTGCTGGTTCCTCTTGCTGGAACCATCCAGCAGCACAATACATTCTCTCCAACTGCGCCTTGACTCACATTCTCATTGTTGCGCAAAATTGCAACTTTACTAGATCCTGAGCTCGCAACTCAGAGAAGCGTGCATATCATTTCTCATTCACTCAGCCAGATTTTGTGGGAAAGTAAAGCACAATGCGCACATGGAGCTGTTGCAGACGGTTAGCACCCGCAGCAGTAAGGCTTGACATTTGTGTTACTGCCAGTTTAGCTTGCGCTTTTGGAGGGATTGCTTGTGACAAAGCACAAGGAGCACTTACTGACACCTGAAGAGAGAGTTTGCTTTCTGATCAACATGCACGTCCTCTACTTCCAGCTCCTCCACCTGCGCTTCCTCTTGCTTGGCCTGCGCCTCCTCTCGCTCGGCCTGCGCCTCCTCTTGCTGTGACACTAGCATCTGCTCCGAGGACAGCAGTGATGACAATGCCTGAGTCATCTGCCGCACCTGCGCTTTGAGCTGCACAACTTGCGCCGCTCGTGCGGCGGCTTGTCTCTCGCGGAATCTCTTGAGCTCATGTTGGGTAAGCTTTGCTCCCAGAGCAGTGGCTTTCTGGTGGCGCTCGGTCAACAAGCGGTTGTCGCTGTCAGAGCGATTGTTGAACCACCAATTTGAGACTGTGTTGTCCCGAGCAATGGTGTGAGCCTTGTCCCACAGGTGCAGCACCAGTTCAGACGACTGGGACAGCAGCTCCAGTTGTGCGTAAAGTGTGAAGATCTGCTGGTTCCTCTTGCTGGAACCATCCAGCAGCACAATAGCCACGATGTGAAAGATGGAGACCAAGCAGATAAACTTGTACTGGTCATCCACCTCATCCTGTGTCTGGGCAGCACCCAGGGGGACAAAGGGATGCTTTGGCGGCCGTTGGAAGCCATCTTGAATGCATCCATAGAAGGCCAGCATCCCATCCTCCCTCAAGAACACCTGCAGCTTGACGTCTGTTGTCGTCTTGACCTGATGGTATGCTTGAGGGAGTTGGGCCTTTAGTGCCTGCGGCATTGACCATGTTGGCTCAAAGACCTTTGCTGGCCTGTTGAGCATTGTTTGGGTATTCCGTTGACAAGCCTTGTCTGCTAGTGCCCGCACCGCTTGCAAGACTTGAGGCAAGCAGAGCCTCACATCAG